GATAGTCCTCTTCTTCCTTACACTATATCTCCTCTTTCTACTGTTCTTTGGTCTCTGTCTTATATAGTTCTTCTCTTGTTCTCTACTCACTATCTTGTACACTGTTAACTAATTTTTACTCTGGCTCTTAAACTAACTCAGAATGAGAGCTGTTCCGGAAGTGGGGCTTCTCTTTAAACTATCTCTTGTAAAATTAGCGCACTTTCATTTACACCCCCTGTAGCCTAGGGCACCCCCCTAGCGCCATTTGCCCAACAATGGGACTTTTAGGACCTAGCCCACGCGAGTTAGATTCCGCCTGACGTTAAATAGTAATAAATAAATAAATAAATAAATAGAACTGTGTTAATGAATTAATCATTTCCACTGTATATATACAAGTCTGTCGAAGTATTCTTGTCAAAGTTAAATACATGTAGGAAACTAGCGTCCACATGAAGGATAAAAAGAATGATACGACAAAATTAAATAGTGGAATATCGTCGTTATCATCACGACACTTCCATAAAAGAATTTTAAATGCCCGCTAACCCGTTAGCCACCCACCGCAATGAGACTAAACCTTCAATCTTGTGGTAACCAGTACCACCACCGCCTACTTACCTTTATCAGAACAGATAACCTCTCAATAATACGAACAGAAATCTTTCTTCTAAATTTAAACCATTCTAACACTCCTTCTCGTCGGGCGGGGGCCTTCACCCGCACCGCTAGCTGCAGGTTGAGCACCAGAAGTTGAATTAGTAGGGAATGAACCTGCGCATTTTTGAGTAGCCTAACAAGAATTAGATCAGTATATAAGATATGACCAGGAGAGAGGGACAAGGGGGCAAAGGAGTACATACAGCCATCAGATTCCTCATATTCTGCTCAATACCACCCCTGAAGTCAGCCTGGAGGGTCGTAACAATCATCTTCGCAGGACCAGTGCTATTCTGCAGCGCCAAATTCTGGGTTAACTGCAATTCCTCCTTCTGCGCATTAGCCACTTTCGCAAGTCCCTCGCTTGCGGGACTGTTGATGGGACCGGCGATGGCTTGGTTCTGCTCGCGGATGGTAACTCCTTGTTGGACGGTTTCCAAGAGCGAGCGTTGCTCCTGGAGGTATTTGTTTCCGTCGACGGGATTTGCATTCAGAGTTTCGCCGATGGCGTTGACCTTTTCGAGTTCCATCATTTGAATGGCGATGTTACTCTGGATGCCCTGTCCCAGACGGTTTTCTTCGGCTGTGCAACCGTTGTTGGTAGGTGGAGCGCCGCCGCCATTTCCATTTCCATTTCCATTTCCGTTGCCGATGCCTCCGGTGTTTCCACCTCCGTTGCCTGATGTCTGGGTGTTGACATTTACGTTGCCGCTAAAGAAAGATTAGATCAAATGCCGAGATAATAAACTACCGAATGGAATTTCATGGAGCGAAGGTATCGATTTCAATTTTGATTTGTTGGGGGGATTGAAGCCAAAGGCTTGTCACAAATCAAGTGTACAGATCAAAGGTTTACCCACCTGATCTGAGTCTGTCCATTAGGATAGATGGTAGCCGTGTAGACGCTTTGTTGATTTCCATTGACGCTAGGTCCACCAACGCTAGTAATCATCAAAGTTGGGCTACGAATCAAGTCAGTGGTGCCTTTTTAACAGAGAATCTGGCCGTAAAATGTATTCGAATAACATGCAGGGAAGAAAGGGGCATACAAGGGCGAGAAAGGACTTACGCGCCACCACCATTTGGAGTAATCGATGTTACGATCAAACTGGGAAGTTGTTGATTGCCGTTCCCACCGTTGTTATTCGCGTTTCTTGGGATCAGTTAGTATATGGTCATATTCGAAATTTCCACTGAGCGGGTATCCGCGTTCCACCCAAGGTATTATGGGAGTTGAAGCTTGAAGGAAAGTGTCTCTTACACTTGGTTTGCCTGAGGTATTATATCGGTGACCTGAACCGTCGCCCCATTATTATTGTTGTTGTTTTGTCTCTTAAGGATTGCTTCCCGAGCCGCGCCCTCTCCTCCCCCGCCCACCTCAATCATTCTACCATCCCCACCCATCAAAAAACTTCGCGAGAAGACGGGATTGGCTAGAAGGAACATACAAGCAAAACGTGGCGATACATAATGGACCTGCATCTTGAAATGTATTATTAAAGTATGTAAACAAGAGAAGATAAAAGATAAGGAAAAAGAAAATATATTGGAAGAAAAAGGATTATAAAGTGCACGTTGAGACCTGACTTCGACCTGCGGCTTGGAGACAATACCTAGGAACATGGAAGATGGGCGGCGACAGAATGTATATGTACTGGTATGTTAGTGCCGGTCAACCTGCGTCAGATTTCCAACTACTTGTCAAGCGAGCTTATCGTTGAATGCGTGGCCAGGCAGTGCTTGGCCAAGTTGCTTCAACGCTCAAACATGCTCCAGGATCAGACATTGGACGAAGAGGCTCAAAGGTTAGAAACCCAATGAAAACAATGGATGCCTCTCTTGTATGTGCCTCTCTCGGATCAATCAAGTTCCACGGAGCGCGGATAATTCTATGATCCGCCAATCGTGGCCTGTACTGTACTTGAGTGCTCCTTGCGAGTATTAACTCTATTTGACAAGCTTCGTCAAGGGGCAGAATAAGCTTCATTCAAGAACCATTCGTTCCACTGCTAAATGTACGCCAAACTAGATTCGAATGGTTGCGAGCATGCAAACCTGATGAATTAGATAGGACGAAGAAGGATTCGCGATCGGGAGAAACCGAGGAACAAGGACTTCTCAAAGTGATTTAATATACAGTAACAGAAGATTGTCCCCCGCGGCCAGACACTAATTTAAGGCAGCACTTGATGAACATGTTGGAGAACAGATTTACTAGACATAACAGGAGAGCAAGCTACAACTCATTTGGATAGTTAGCTACGCAAGTGGACATTGCGGGGGAGATCTGCCTTAATAATGAAATGATTCCTCCATAGATTTACACCACTAGAGCTCAGAATACTGTAGGTAAAAGATACAGTACTGGACAGATACACCCACCGGCCAAGCCATAAGGGAAAGGATTGAAAACGAATCGCATCGCATCCCCCGAAAGAAAGTTTCACACTAGTGCCGTTTGATCCCTTCCAGACTTGAAGGTAGTGCCAGGTGCGAACGTGCGCTTGTGGAGAAATGTTATCCTCTCTTATAACATCTTCCCTGTAAAACAAAGTCGCTAAGCCAACCATGCTATGTTTCCAAGTCTTTGAGCCTTAACCCCACCTAGTCATTGTGTCCTTTCAACCGCACGTTCAGGCTTGCAAGTTGAAACGCGTCGCGGGGTAACTCTAAATCAACGACCCCCGTGCGAGGGACAAGTAGCAGCACCGGCATACCCTCACCAGTTCTTCTGATTTCATGCTCCACATTCCAGAATGAAACCTCCATCAACGATCGAGGAAACAATCCCAAAAATAGCCAACTCGACTCTGGGGAAAACCGGTAGAGCAAATGAAAGCACATGTATTCACAATGAATCTCAGCAAGAATGGAGCGTAGAGCCGGTGGCAATATTATTTGTACTTCATTAAAGGTTTTATAGGCAATTTTATACAAGTACATATATGTACAGTGAAAAACCGACATTGTGCATGAACACAAGGCATTTGAGTACTACCCATGAAGCTGGGTTACTAGATGCCCTGGTTGTGAATCGAATCTGGGTATCCAGGATTGGTTGGTTATGTATCCAATGCATTAAATGACATACTGATGACAGCGTTAGCACAGAGAAACACCATCTTACACAAGCATGACCTACCGGGATGAAAAGATAAGGGACTAAACGAGTGTATTCGTCCCAGCTTTCTCCATACTTGGCCTTGCATCTTTCGATATCTCGGTAAGCACGATGCACAATCATGCAGGAGAAGAAGAACGGATAAAACCAAGGAAACGGGCTGTTGAATCCAGTGACCAGGCCCCAGGTAAGGGCAAAGTAGAGGTCACAAGTGTAGTGAATCTTTCGAGCATATCCATACCATCCGTCAACAAGAATCGAGTCTCCAGTTTTGGTCTTAATGGTGCGCGGGTTTTTGACAGTTTGCCAAGGGAGTTGGGGAAATGTTTTGCGCTCAAGCATGGCACCACGTTCTCCTGCTCTGAAGCGATTCTTCTGTGAATTTGTGGTATCCCAAATCCAGTACACGAATAAGTAAGAGGTGAAAAGTGCAGCCATCACGTAGCGGTTCCATTGATAAGTTGAAGGGTCGTGATTAGCAAGGTACAGGGTGCAGTGGCAATAACTCAGAGGAACACCAGCAATGTTCCAAAAGATGAGCATGAATCCCCATTTCTCATAGTAAATATCCCTAGAATAATCAAGAGGTGATCACAACATGAAAAAAAGGATTACCACTTACCAAGTTGTAGGAATGCACTCTTCTCCTTTAGAGCAAGCATTGGCATACAAGAAATGAGCCATTAGGAGGAAGCAAACTTCTGCTGAGACATATCCGTACTCCTCATATTGACGAGCTGCGGTCCCGCAAGTCAATGCCAAGAGAATATACCACGGTAAACGCACTTCGAAGAACATCTTGAAGTCCAAAACTCCAAACATACGAGGGTTCAATTCGGCACCCATGAAGAAGTCGTAGAAAAAGTATCCAGTCATTCGGTGTTGCGCTCCTCGGGCTATAGCAGAAAAGTATGCGATGATGGATACCAAAAACCCGGAGCAGATTGCTACAGACATGATGGGTCCAAACTCATCGACGAGGGTATATATCTTGAAGATATTGAAGTAGTGAAGCGCTCCGAGGAGAGCAAAAGTGGTGTAAAAGGACCAAACTCCGGAACAGTAATACTTCAGTTGTTTGCCACCTTCATGGGCAAGAGGTTTTCCATACGTATAGACGCCAGGAAGAAGACAATAGCACAACCCCTCGAAAACGAAGAAAGTCCAGAAAATGGCCCAAGCGTAAGGCGAAGGAAACGCCTCTTTGTAAACAAGGTTGCCCACATGCTTTAGGAAATCCACGAAGCTCTGTCCAGGGGCCGGAGTTGGGAATTTGCCATCATAGAAAGTTGCGCCAACCCACATGTACCACATGAGTAAAGGGAAGCATATCATCATAGCCACAACACCAAAAGACCCTCCGAAATCGAAATGTGGTGAGTAATCGATTTTGGGATCCTTTCCAACCTCCCAACCGTCAATAACGCGCCCCCTCTGCATCGTGTTCGTCTTCGCAGGCTTGCCATTGGCGGCGCTCTTTGCAACGCCATTGCGTATCCCATTCATGGTGGCGTATGCTGCGGACCCGTTGCTACCGCTACCATTCAAGGCATCGATCAGGATATCGGATGCCCCTTCGACTGCGGACGTAGATCCGTTCATTGCTGCTGTCTCAACCAGCCTGACTTTTCTCTGGGATTTCCACTGGGTTGTTGATGTACTACGCCTCGATGAAGTGTCTGTGGCAGAAGAATCGTCGTCGTCTTCTTCTTCTTTAATGGGGAACTGGGACTTGCGCCGGGAGGGTTGACGTGTTCCTGGGGTCGGGACCAGACCAGGGTGTTCTGTCTTTCTGAGAGCGGTCAGTAGGTGAAGGTGAGGAAGAAGAAAGTGATATATACTTGGGAGTCTGCCGTAGCGAATAGCGTTCCGACATGGTGAGGGACGGGTCGGACACTCAGCAGAGAAAAAAAGAGATTATAAGTGGAATTATGAAGGGGATGAAGCAATTACGGTGAATTCTAGCTCGTTGCTGCGTGGGCGTGGCTGTGGACCCAAATACCCGAGAAAAAGAAAAGAAAAATGCAGATATTCAAATGTACATCGTCCGGTTCAAAATTCAAAAAAAGTTGCGGGACCAACAATTGCACAACAATGTGTACCAAGCGGGCGTGGGAATTGTTGTTGTGGTGTGTACAAAGGTGTACACAAATTGGGAAGTTGAGAAGTTCCAGCCGGGACGCGCCTACCGGACCACTTGCTGATTGGCTGAACCTTCTAGCCCCTGAAATCGCCTTCGGGAGCACGTGGCCAAGATTTACTTCGTCGGGTCGGGTGCTTGTACTCGAGTACGAGAGGCTAGCGAATTCCGTTTTTCGGTCCGTCCGGCCAGGTCAACGTTGACAACCAACCACCGTGACCCCGCAGTCTCAACAACCGTCAATTTTAAAATTGAACTCGGTCTCTTCCAAAGTCCGGGCGGATATACGATTTGGTAGGCATAAATCTGGTGTAACGTGTAACCAAGAAAGGCTAAATAAGCGAAGTGGTCCCTTACCTGATAGTAAACATAGCTCAGTAAACAAAGCTTGTTTCACGAAGAAGAAGATTGAACTCTAGAGCGGTTTTCAAAGATTTGCAAGTCTATTAAACAGCTTTTCTAGACATCTACTCGTACTTTGCATGATGGCCAGCTACAAATCTGTCTTCCTTCTGAATAGCATAGTAAAACTTCGCCCATTCCGTTCTTTCTCTCAACTCATTCTTCTCTAAAACTGCACGCTAACGTCTCGCTTACGTAGGCAGTGCTGTGAATCTCTTCACCTACTCATACATATCTTTTGCTATTTTATAAAGCGAAGGAGCTCAAATGCTTGATTCTACACTTCAACCCTGGATAGCGCTTCACTCAAATACCACACGTGGCAATGCAGGAAAACTTCAACAGCAAAATAAAAGTCATGACAAATTATACACACTTACAAAAACCGTACCTGCCAAACCCACACCAGACAGCAGGAGAGTAAGCACTTATAACTCCACAAGAACACCACCCACCTAGGCTACACCAAGTATCCCAAAAGCAATGAAAATCCCAACATTCATCCCACGCTTCCTCTCTCCCATCCCGCAATCCAAGAACCATAAAAGTCAAGAATCAAACCAACAACAAACCCCCCCTCCTCCCAATTATCCACAAGAATCCCACACCCGCACCCACACCCACACCCACACCCACAAGCGAGCTAAAAAGAGTTNGTCAAGAATCAAACCAACAACAAACCCCCCCTCCTCCCAATTATCCACAAGAATCCCACACCCGCACCCACACCCACACCCACACCCACAAGCGAGCTAAAAAGAGTTCTACCTCAACGAAGTCAAAGAATCCACAACCAGAACTCCCTCAACAGCAACACTTCCTGTGAACCTCCCATCCAAACTCAATCCGCCATATATTCCAAACCCTCACATCAAGGCCAACTTCTTCTTCTTACTCCTCCCCAACATCCCCCATGCTACAAATGGAACAAGGTGTAATCGTTAAGAAGCTAACCACACTTCTGGCTGGACTCTGTGTACCACAAATGGAACATCTCAAGCTGCTCTTCTGGCAGTAGTACTCATCAAAGTAATCTTTTTCGCTTTTTTCTTCTTGCCTTGGCCGCCACCGGTATTTATGGGCAGAACACTTGTGCTACTCTCACCATTTAGCGACGCTGCCTGGACCTGTGCAATCAGTTCATCATTTTCCGCCTGCAACTCCTGCTCCCACGAATGTAACCATCCGTCATCAGCATCATTTCGAACCGGTTGGGGATTGAACTCTGGTGATGCTGGAGCCCTCATTGCGGTTCCCCAGACTGTCCTTGGAGCATTTGGGCTCGTGGAAGGGGAGGCTAGGGTAGCAAAGGAAGACCGTTGACGAGATGGCCAGGGAGGGGATGAATTATTTGGATCGAACGATGACGGGGCCAGCGGATGAAAATCGTCCTCGGAATAGTTTCCAGCGTAATCTGTTGGGCGTTTCCTTCTCGCATTGGCCCATCTGGCTTCATCTTCTGCTTTCTCGGCTCGTACCCTATCTTTTTCCTCTCGATTTTCTTTATCTCTGTTTCGCTTTCTTCTCTTCTCAATTTCGGGTTTAAACTGGTCACAAATATCAGGTGCTACCACGTCAGTCCAATTACATTCGAGAAAGCCGACTTCGCAGCCATACGGAAGGTGAGAAAGATATTTCGTTCGTTTTCGTAACTCGTCATCCATTATGTTGCCGGTAGAAATGCGCTCGACGCGGGGAAGAAGCGTTGATGGAAAGGATGCAAAGTTTCCAAAAGCCGATTTAAGGATTCGAATATCAAGTGGTGCAAGATAGTAATGGAGAAGGGATTGATAGAAAAAGTATGGTGCATCTGGATGATGGGCTTCGCTCACTGTGCGGGAACGTGGTTTTGAGGCCGCTGGAATTGACTTTTGATCGTTAGGATTGGTGTGACCTGTTGTAGACTCCACCGCTTCTTGACTATTAGGTGTAACGCCTGGTGTCGACATTTCAGGTGAGCTGGTCGTCGCATCCATTCCCGATTTTAAAGAATTTTGTATAAAATACATTTCTGGCGCCTCCTCGATTGATGTAAACTGTATCGGTAGTCGCTTGGGCTTCTTCTCAGTCGGTTCCTTTGGAGGAGGCGGGTTACCGATGCCTTGAACTTGCTCCTTGGCTTCTTTGACAGCATTTACAGCCTTTCTTGTCCACTGAGGCTCTTCTCCAAACATCAGCTCATCTTCCGTTTCCTGCCTCTGAAGCTCTTTAATCTCATTATCGAATTGCTCAATCATGTAATCCTCACAACCCTTCATGATTCGGGCATAATCCATGACTTCAGCAGCAAAATACCAAGGAACATCTTCTGCTTTCTCGAGTACATCGGCGCCATCACGGGGTAGAGCCAAAGTGCTCCCAGGTTGTCGCATAACGAGTCTCAAAACCACATCATCACCCTCTCTTAAAGCTGCTCCCTCTTGTCCGGTATACCACCTCACAGGTCTGGTCTCCGAAATATACACCGAATCCCAACAAATCGGACACTTCTTCCATCGGGCCTTTTTTTCTGGAATTGGGTTTACGTCATCCGTAGAGTGCATGTATCGAATCAAACATGGTAGACAAAATATGTGACCACACTTCGCCATCCTGGGTGCTACTGGATGGGAGAGACAAATCGGACACGATGCCTCCTGAGATACTGAGGAAGCAAGAATTTGGAGAACATCATCCCAGTCAAGATGCTGATCGGCATTGACAGCCTGTGGTTTGTAATCTCCATTCGGCTTGACAATAAAGCGATAATTGGCGTGTATATACCTAGCATGGTTAGAAGTGATAATTATGTAACGACTGGTGGTTATCACCTTGCCTTGTCACTGGAGTGATGACCGGATCCAATACCATATGTATTACCTCGTCGTGTTCCCCTCGCCATGGTGTTACGGTAGTCCTGTGGTCGTGGAGGCAGAGAGAAGTTCATTAGGTGAGTGATGGAAGTCTGACCTCTCCGACCATTGGGATTTCTCATAGCTCCCTTCGATTATTAGCTAATGAATCCCTCGAGAAAGATATCAAACCCACATTTTCTGCCATTGTGTCCTCGTCTACAAAACTCGATTTCTTGGAGTTCTTGTGCTGCTTCTTGTGACTTTGATTGTTTCGGGATGTGGCATGAATGGGAATTGATTGCTGACCAGAACGCCTCAAACCGGATTCAAAGCTAGGAGATGTAATTTGAGCGTGCTGTTGTTGGAGAGGCGAATGGGACGAGGAAGTATTGATCACTTTCCCTCCGGAGTTAGAGGCGTTTGGTGAAGCCGAATTCATGATCATCCACAATGTTTCCTCGACCGAATTGTAGCTGGTACGAAAACAAGTACCGGTATATCGAGAAATCTGTCGACCAGCTTGGTATGGCTTCCCGTTGGCGTCAAGCTTGGAATCACTCGAGTCTGCTGGGATGGGGTGATGGGTACGGGATTCGGATGGGCGATGAGTCTGGGGTTGGGGTTGGGGTTGAGGGGCTGCGGGTGTTGAAAGGTACGATCATCAGTGGCGTGAGATGGAAGTTCTCCTTGGCTTCTTCAAACTGGAGATAGGGTCCTCAGCCCCAGATGATGCGCGTTGAGATGGAGATATGAGTATATTTGGAAGATGAAGGCAAAAGCACCAGCAGTGCTGGGTTAGCACTGACACAGGCACGGCACCAGGTTGGTGGGGAGTCACTGTCATCTAACCTAGGATCTTGTATCTGAGCTGCCCGCTGCGATATGGATGCGGGGCGATATGAGACACGTGACCCGAATGGACACCTTCCATTTCCTGCGGGCAGGCGGTAGGTAGGGTGGAAGCTACGGCTCAGGTCCCTACGGCTCCCTACCCACCCACAAGGCTAGACAATAGGTAGCAATTTATAGTCCATCACGAAATCTGTCCAATGTCATGACTGTGCTCTTTGCCAACCTCGTCGCCATCTGCCAAAGCTGATCTCCCCAGACAATTCACTGGATTCACCGCGACCTACCGACCAAGTTCAACATCGCAACGTGTTCCCTGGCCTGGATCCGTCTCTCTCTACCTCCACACTTTCAACGCCGTCGAATCTGTAGCCACTCTCTGCAGTACCGTACTGGCAACCCCAACATTGACATTTCCAATTAACTGCCTCGAGCTCCTCGGCTTCCCGACATCCTCACAAGCTCCCGCACACTGGTGAAGCTGCAACTACCCACCCCGCATCCTCCAACGAACTACGGCCACCAACATGGCGGCACCGCAAGAGGGTTATCCAGCTCAAGGCTATCCTGCCCCGGATCCTTATGAACAGCAGCAGAGCCCAGCGCAGCCTGGCTTTGGGACCGCATCGCCTCCTCCCCAACCTGGGCAGGCCGAGCACGATGGAGGGAAGAAGAAGAAGAGAGGTTACGCGGCGCAAGCTTATGACTTTGGGGCGGGTGCGAATTCGGCACTGGGAGGACAAGCGCAAGGAGGCGGTCAATTTCAACCTCCTGGACAAGCTCCAGTATACGGCGGTGGATATGCAGCTCCTGAGGCACAACCAGCATATGGACAACCTCAATATGGAGCGCCCGTTGGAGCTCCAATTCCTGGCGCGCAGCCTGTCCCATATGGTGCCGGGCAACCGCAATATGGCGGCGGTGTGGGCTATCAACCTCCAGACGCAGGATATCCAGGTCCCGGAGCACCAGCTATGGGTGGAGTTGCTGGAATTACCCAGGGAATGGGACAGATGGGAGTTGGAGCACAACCACAAGCCCAACCTCAGCAAGCCCCTGGTCGACCAGCAGTTCTGAACCAGTTGTACCCCACCGATCTCTTGAACCAGCCTTTTAACGTGGCAGAACTTGATCTGCCACCTCCCGCAATTGTTTTGCCTGCGAATGTAAGTTTAAATGTATGTAAAGAAGAAACCTGGCATGCTGACTTTATATTATAGTCAAGCGTTACCGCGTCACCCGATGCCAACTGCGCTGCAAAATACGTTCGCTCGACTCTTAATGCGGTTCCAACTACACACTCGTTACTCAAGAAATCGAAACTGCCTTTCGCCCTCATCATTCAGCCATATACCTCTCTACATGATGTTGATGACCCAGTTCCAATTGTCCAAGACCAGGTTATTTCACGTTGCCGAAGATGTCGATCGTACATAAACCCTTATGTCACATTTTTGGATCATGGGCATCGATGGAGATGTAACATGTGCAACCTCACAAATGATGTCCCTCAAGCTTTCGATTGGGATGCGGCTGCTCAGAAAAGTGTTGACAGATGGCAAAGACCCGAGCTAAACCATGCGGTGGTCGAATTTGTGGCTCCACAGGAATATATGGTCCGGCCCCCACAACCTCTTGTCTACCTGTTTTTGTTCGATGTTAGCTACGCATCCGTGTCATGTGGGCTTCTCGCAACTAGCGCCCGTACAATTTTGGACAGTCTGAACAGGATACCTAATGCGGATCGAAGAACTCGCGTCGGTTTCATGGCTGTGGATTCCAGCTTACACTACTTTGCCGTGCCAAGAGACACGGATGAGAATGGCGAGACTAACATGCTTGTTGTCAGCGATCTCGAGGAGCCTTTCTTGCCAATTCCTCAAGAGCTCCTGGTTCCACTATCAGAAAGTCGACTTAGTGTCGAGAAATTCCTGACTGCACTTCCATCTATGTTCCAAGCCAACCAGAACAATGGCTCATGTATGGGATCTGCATTGAGAGCAGGCCACAAACTCATTTCTCCGCTCGGAGGCAAGATTGTTGTTATCACAGCATCTTTACCGAATGTTGGCTATGGCAAGCTCGAAATGAGAGAGGACAAGAAGCTTCTGGGAACCACCAAAGAGAGCGCTTTGCTTCAAACTGGCAACAGCTTTTACAAAAGCTTTGCTGTTGAGTGCTCGAAGAACCAAGTTTCGATCGATATGTTCCTCTTCTCATCTCAATATCAAGACGTGGCGTCACTGAGCAACTTACCAAGATATACGGGAGGACAAACGTACTTCTATCCAGGATGGAATGCAGGAAGGAGCGAAGACGCAATCAAATTTGCATCGGAATTTAGTGATTACTTGTCAGCTGAGATCGGTCTTGAGGCCGTTCTGCGGGTTCGTGCCACAACCGGACTGCGCATGAGCACATTTTATGGCAATTTCTTTAACAGAAGCTCGGATCTCTGCGCTTTCCCAGCTTTTCCAAGAGACCAAAGTTATGTTGTTGAGGTAGCTATTGACGAGAGCTTGACTAAGAACTTTGTTTGCATGCAAACCGCTGTTCTTCATACGACAAGCAATGGAGAGAGACGAATCCGAGTAATGACCTTGTCATTACCAACAACTACAAGTCTTGCTGATGTCTATGCTTCTGCCGATCAGTGTGCCATTACAACATTCTTCAGTCATAAAGCTGTCGAGCGCGCACTTAGCAGTGGACTTGAGCCGGCCAGAGAAGCACTTCAGTCTAAGCTTATCGAGCTTTTACAGACTTTCAAGAAAGAACTTGCTGGTGGAAATATGGGAGGAGGCGGTTTGCAATTTCCTGCCAATCTCCGTGGCTTGCCAGTATTGTTCCTGGGTCTTATTAAAAACGTCGGTCTTCGAAAATCAGCACAAATTCCATCAGATCTTCGGTCAGCTGCGCTTTGTCAACTATCGACCCTTCCTCTACCACTTCTGATGCAGTTCATCTACCCACGCATGTACTCGCTGCATGACATGCCTGATAACGCAGGTATCCCTGATCCACAAACGAGTCAGATCGTTCTACCACCACCTCATAACTTGTCCTCAGAAAGACTGGTTCCATACGGACTCTATCTTATAGACGATGGTCAGACTCAGTTCCTGTGGGTCGGACGAGATGCAGTGCCTCAGCTACTCGCTGATGTATTTGACGTTCCTGATCGAATCAAGCTTAAGGCTGGCAAGAGCTCCCTTCCAGAACTGGATAACGATTTCAACGAGCGAGTGCGCGCAGTAATTCAAAAGAGCAGAGATTACCGATCCCGTAGCGTTGGCAGCATCATTGTGCCGCATCTGTATGTGATTAGGGAAGATGGTGATCCAAGTCTGAAATTGTGGGCGCAGACGTTGTTGGTGGAGGATCGGGCGGATCAAGGGATGAGCTTCCAGCAATTTATGGGAACTCTACGAGAAAAGGTGAGCTAAAGTCCCGATGGGGCCCTGTTATTGAAGCCATGGCCTCGTGCTGATGCATACAATGTCCAGGTCGTACAATGAAGATATTTGGAGAGTGGAGTGCGAACCTTTGTAGCAGTATAGAAAACAAATACCTATCTTAGTTGAAGCAAGGCCTGTTTGGCGATTGCCCAATTCCAGTTTATATGAATTTTAACAGAATCTTCTTAGTTCTTTCAAGTCGCCTAATAAGTTACATGAGAGACTGTTTGTTTAGGTAATCTTACTTACAGGCAAGCATAAAAAGAGGGTAATAAATAGAAGCCTCATTAATCCAAGTTGTTGTCTTATTGGAATACCAACAAGAATCGTCTAATCAGAACAGATATGAACAATTCTGAGATGCCACAACAATGAGGCTATTTATTGCTGTGTTTTTTCCATTGTAAATCAAGCCGCCTAACCTAATTGAACTGAAAACTTGCCACCAGGGGCGATGGGATTCCTGCATCGCCTCCTTGGTTACAGCACGTGAAGATTCACTCTGACTTTGTGAAAAAAATCTCTGATCTTGCTACCTGGAATGTGGATGATTTTACTTCTTCTTAGGATTTGTGCATCACAAAAAGGCAGTGAGCTAGGTACGCAGTACCTACGTACCTGGTGCTACTACCCCCACGTACCAGGGTAGGTAGCTCCCAATCAGCTCTAATCCAACCCGTCACCCAGCACTAATGCCTCAAATACTAGGCCGACTTTAGGTTAACGGGAATTTTGGGCGACAACACTCAAGGATAACACCAACATCACCGATATCTCCACGACATAACAGCACCCTCTGCACAAATCATCGCATCCCAATATTAGGAAAGCTTGATGCACAGATCTCGAATATCGCCATCTTTGACAACTCCTGCTCCGCCGCTCTAGACACTTTGCGCAGTGGCCGGAGTCCGAACGCGCTCATCGTGACTGACTTTCGCAGCTTCATTTCGACTCCGACTCCCAAGCCGGCATGATGAACAGTCGTCATCTGCCGGCAGGGCAAGGCATGCCGTCAGATGGGAGGAGACGGCAGTATAATCAAAGTCAGAACCAACACCAACATCAGCAATACCCCCCAACGCCGATGTACAATGCCTACATGAATCCATATATGGGCAACGCGAACTACTACCCACAACACCTTCCTCCACAACAATACCACAACCCAATTCCTCACCAAAACCCATACAATCCTTACCCACCATATGTGCGCTCCCCGCCCCCACCAATGCAGCACTACGCTCATCCTCCAATGCCTCAACAACAACAACACCCCCAACCACAGCAGCAGCACTATGCTCCTCGGCGTCAGCAATCCCCCGCTGTGGTCTCAACCCCATACCAACCTCCTTCGCAGACACCCTCATCCACTCAATCATCGCATACAGTCCCAGGGCCAATGACGCCTCCAACTCCCCATACTGAGTTAAGTGCAGCACCAGTAACGCCGCCGCGAGATTCCCCACACGATTCCTTCAGAGTACCAGTAAGTCTCAACATGTTTTCGCCTGATCGAGATGTCTAACAATGAAATAGTTACCTTGGCTATCACACCCAGACGCACCTTGGCCAGCGAGAAGACCGCGACGAAAGAGAAAGCAAAGTGGAGAACTATCAAAACGCTCAGTTGAACTCCCAAACATCCATCAAGGCACAAGCGTCGAGGCTGAAAATCCCACACCCGCCGCCGAAGTGGCTCCTCGACCCGAGACACCTTCCACCAGCCAACCACAATCCGATAGAACGGATTCAACCAATCCTACAACGCCATCCTCGAGTACTCAGGCTCCTGTATCTGCTGCCCGTGATACCACACCTGTCGCTCAGAAGTCCGCGCAAAAAGCGAGAATTCCTGCAATTCCTGTCGTCCCCGCACTGCCGAAGGCATCCCCGCGGGATGTTGCAAAACAAATCCCAGAGAAGACAACTGAGGATCTTTCTGTAGGTCAAAGCCAGGAAGATGCTAAGGATGAAGAAAAAGTCATCACTTCGGAGAATCAAGCTGCGAAGGTTGAATCTCCTGCCCCAGCTCCAGCTCCAAAAGCTTGGTCGACACCTAAGGCTTGGTCGGGGCTTTTTAACCCCAATGCAGACACAAGCAATGCCAAGTCTCATGATATTGGGCGACGAGCAGGACAAAGTTTTGGCGCTGCAAATACGGAGTCTGTAGCAGAGGCTTTGAGGTCCTTCAGTGCAGTCTCTAGTGATTCAAAGATTTCGTTTCTCAAACCGCGTGGTCTGATCAATACCGGCAATATGTGCTACATGAATTCCGTAAGCGAAATCTATAATCCACACTCACGCTTGGTCGTCTTCTAATCAGTTACAGGTTCTTCAAGTTCTTGTCTCCTGTACTCCTTTTTTCACATTTCTTGACCAAATTGGAAAGCGTGCAACCCATAGTTTCAAGAGCGAAACACCTTTAATTGATGCTATGCAAGTATCTCAGACATTTAATTCAAACTAAATCTAACGTTTACATAGGATCATGTTCATGCGGGAGTACCCCGTAATAGATTCTGCCGCGTCCGTCGAGAAATTGCGATTGCGACTGAAGGAAGCAGAACTTGAGGAGTATGGGGAAGCGTTCACACCCGACTTCGTTTACGACGTGATCAAGCGTCTGCCGAGATTTTCAAGCATGCGAGTATGTTACCACAAACTTTTGTGATAAGCCCAACTAATAGTATGTAGCGCGGTCATCAACAAGATGCTGAAGAATTTCTGGGTTTCCTATTGGAGGGTCTTCACGACGAGTGTGTGCAAGTCATGCAAGCCAGTGCATCAAACGCTACATCAGCCATGGCCACTCCAACTAATGGCCCATCTTCTCCTACAAGTGAGGTCGCAAGCAATGCTGATTTAGGGGCTGAAAAGGCAAATGGGTGGCTTGAGGTTGGGTACAAACAAAAGGCTGCTGTGACCCGATCGTCTGGGGCGATCATTACCAGTTCACCAATTACCAAGATTTTTGGAGGGAAGCTTAGGTCTGAGCTACGTGTTCCTGGTCTAAAGGATTCCGTCACGTTGGAACCCTACCAACCCTTGCAGCTTGATATCGGGTCCCCTAGCGTTAACAATATCGTCGACGCATTGAAGGGCTTAACTCGTTCCGAGGCTCTACATGGCGATTTCAAATCTCCCAAGGGACCTGATGTTACTGCCACGAAGCAAGTATTCATCGAAACTGTACCTCCTGTTCTCATCCTTCATCTGAAGCGCTTCCAATATGATAATACTGGTGGCACTCAAAAGATTTGGAAGAAGGTCGGATATCCTTTGGAGCTGGAAATTCCCAAAGAGGTTTTCAACCGACAGCAACGGAACAAGTACGCTCACGGTGGACTCCCCAAGTATCGATTGACCGCCGTGGTATATCACCATGGTAAGAACGCCAGCGGAGGACACTACACCGTTGACGTTCGAAGACAAGATGGGCGCGAATGGATCAGACTCGACGACACAATTATTCGACGTGTGAGAAGTGAAGATGTTGCCGAGGGGGGCAGCGAGGAGGATCCAAAGGTTCTCGCCGCCGCACTGGAATCCCAAAAGAAAGACACCCCATCCAATGGAAATATGTTCGCGACCATCGACGAAGCCGAGGACTCGGTGGCCGAGGAGGGTTGGAAGCAAGCAAGTGGGCCAGGGAAAAAATGGTCAAGTCTTGTCAATGGCGCTTCGACCCCAAAAGCCAAGACGGCCGACAAATCTTCCATTAAAGATAACAAGGTTGCGTACCTGCTGTTTTATCAGAAGTTACAATAAGTCTGACTTTTATAACAAATACTGCGGCGGGTCTTGAAGTAGAGAACGATAGTCGCAAGCCACCTCGTCATCGATGCAAAAATATTGCTGCGATATAGAGGCGAGACAATAAGGGGATATTAGGGCAGGTATCAAAAAGTAGTCGATGAAGTTGAAGTGAGTGCAGCCAGAAAGACAGGCTGCTGTACCACCCAGGCTCAACTCGAAGGATAAGCTTAGGAGTGTTTTTTTGCTACCAAAAAATTCAACTTAGAACTGGGCATAGGCATCAAAAAAGCTTTATGCGGAAGGAGAAAATTTGGGGAATTTTTGTCTGTCTACCTAACTGTCTATAAGCAAGGATTCTGTTGGTGACGGGGGGAGGGGATGGATGAGCTTTACGACAGCCTAATTTATCTTTGTTCGATGTATAATAGTTGCGTGGGATACTGTTTCTGTTGTTTTATTGAGACTTTCTCCATTGGGTTCATTTAGTCCCTCCATTGGGCTGGGGGGAGTCTCTGATTAATGATGAGATGGGTTTCATGCAATAACGATAAATAAAAGTTTTTACATATATGTTTATATCTTTTTATTGGAGGGCTTGATTAATGAGGTTATGGTGTAAGAAGTGTAAGGATAATGAAAGGTTCTTCGTACATAGTACTTATACATGGCGCTTCTTGACTTATCGCTATGAGTAGGTGGTGGTCTCAAGTGTCATTGAGGCGTGCGTGGCTACAGAAACTAGTGCCTTGTTTTAGGAGCCAAGTCGTTATATAGGCAGAGTGAAATGAATGTAGGCAGTAATGTAGCACTAAAGGAGTATAAATCATATGCCTATCTACATCTTCGTTGATATTTTACATCTGTCCCGAGTAGGACCTATGAATATGCTGAGTGAATCATTTCGACGCAATATATCTTCCACCCACCACCCAAAAGAATTGGCCAAAAATTGGCAAAAAAAACCTACACCATGCGGCGGCCAGGTCGGAAACCAGACGAACTGAGTTTATCCATATTTTAGCTTAGCAAATCTTTTTCCACGCGGGCCTGTGGCGGCGCTAACTATCTTTCCTCTTGTTTTTTTTACTTTTATCGTATGCGGAACAGTTGTGGTGCGGCGCTTTGGGAATACACACACTAACTGACTGGGCCAGGCGGGAAGGTTACCAGTTTTGGTGATGGGGATGGTGGTATTTGGATATCTATGTTGTGCTCTTGGGATTTGTGGGGATTGCGTTAGGCGAGGGGGTGTGATTGGTTGGTTGGGGCGGGGGGTTGTCTTTGGGTCAGTTTGTTAGGTCGAGTGACAGATGAGGGATTGTACGATAGATATTAGATGGTACGTTTTAGTGACGTGGTTGGTTCTTGAATCTCTCTGCTATTACTTTTTGAAGACCTCGAAATGTTGATCTAAGTACATATACAGTCCGCTCCTGCCTGAGATCCCCCTCTCCGAATCTTCTACTCAATCAGACATCCTGCCACTTTCAATATCCACGCTGTAGGAAACACTGAATTTGAGCTCCGAGGAGGGAAGGAAGAGAAGGAAGTGGAGGTGGTCGTGGTAGAATTTCTCTGCTTAATACCCTGTGTTTCCTCTCGCAAACCGCTACTGGAGGATGCAGACTTGGAAGTAAAGATACCACGAATGGCCCTCGAGAGACTACCGGAGGAACTTCCGGGATTCTAGGGTTGAATAGCGCTTTAGTGATCGGAAGACAGGCAGTTATACTTGCCGCCCTCATCTCAATCGTCATCCAGTAAAACCAAGATGTTGTCAGGTGGATTCCTTCATAGGTCGCCATGCCGTCTAACTTCCCTAGAAGCTGATCGAGCATGACAATGCATATGATACAAAAGGAAACTACCAGACTACCTAGTAAAGAGATCCCATAAAACGCGAGCCTCTTTCCCATCGTCAAAATTAAAGCCAAGACTTTGGCTATGGGAAACGCCAGGATAAGGATATCGGTAGTTACTAGTGACATCGGACACTGTTAGACTATTTTGGATGTAGCAGTCAGCCATGAAGAACTTACATAGCTTCCAAATTTGTTGATTTAGATCCTGAGGCACAATAAGTATCCTTCGACGCTTCGCAGTCAGTTTTGTGCTATCAACAAGTGCACAAATCTATTTCCTGAGCGGATCGCACGGTACGGTTGCCGAGAGGTATCTTCCATCCTGGCCTCTCAGCACGTGTTTGCCGCTTCAGTTCCATGGAATTCTTTGAAGTGCAAGGTAAAGTGGCTATCCATAATATGTTTCTCGACCTCAGATGACTACAGTAAAGTTGAAGCGCTGTGAGCAGCAACGCAGACCCTTGATTTTTTGGAGGCAAAGGATCGACAAATTGCCTTGATTGCTATCAAGATACTGTACTCGGTAATTGTTATTCTTCTCGTTTTGGGAGACAATTCGTGTGTTAGTTTTAAATCAAATAGTAAATCAAATTGTTGTCTGAAAGGTGCTGAACCACCAAGGTTAATTGAAATAGGAGGTTGATACACCGCGATAGAGCCTTTGCAACTTTCAATTGCATAGTCGAACTCGATCTTGAATATCTTATGATACCAAACAATTCCCCATCCCCTCCAAATTCGGGGTTCAAATCTGGACCTGGGCATGGTTGTGGTGAAGGGGACGTTTCCCATCAAGCCATCTACTCATCGTTGGCCTCATAAGCCCCTCCTCTTTCAAAAAGTGTTATTTGTGGATACAGTGACATCTCTCTCTCTCTCTCTCTCCAAAGCACATTTATTGTCTCCTGGCAACTTATTTCTAATCCACTCATGCTCAAAATCTCTCCCTAAGAATAGATTGGTCAGTTATTGAGCAGCTAGAGAAGTTTCGACAAGCGAGAGACCGAGCAGTATTGTAAGGAAAAAGAGAGACTGGTTCAAATAGGAGAATTATATCGAGGGGAGGCAGGCACTTACAACTGTTGATAATCCTGAAAAAGTTTCTACTCCTCTCTAAAGAATTGTGTCTCTATCTCTATACACGAAGACCCCTTTCATTGTTATCCTCATAATGATCATCCCCCCAACCATTTATTTCTTCTACCCATGACTACTTTCTCACGGCATGGGCGAAAATTGCAAACGCCAATTGGATAACGTGGAAGTCTGAAAGACTCATGTCGTCGTGAATTCTGCCCAGAATACAAGCAACTCGAGGCTCATGTTCAATTTCGAGTCATCCGCGCATGTCCATCACTACCCGAAGTCATTGGAATAGGGTAGCTCTGGAACACTGGAACAGCAATTTCCTCAAGAAGCCCTCTCAATATATCCACGAATGTTCCGAAGTCCGTATCTGTCGAATCATTTGTTGGATATGACAGGTTACGTATCCAATAATTCAGTGTTGGAGGCAGACTTGCTGACTCGCGGTTTTTGTTACGTTGCCACTCTGTAGTTTTTGGTTTAACCAGGAGCTTGATTATGCGATCTAGGATTGGCTTCTCTGTTCTTTCTCAGTTTTCCTTGCACTCAGTATCGCCACAACGCGCATGGTCGAGTTCTGTCATCATGCTGTCGGATTTTGATGGTGTAAGACTAGGACTGACATACTTCGTCTCCGGCGAAATATATGTAACTTTTCTAGATTGGCTAAGGCGAGCAACAGGGTAAAACCCCATGAAAAAGCTACATTTGTTTTACCTGTGACGAAGTGTAATAACGATTGCTTTATGGCCTATTCGGCTTAAATTAGGGTGAATTAGATTATTCGGCAGTGTACCCTAGGATTTATAAAACTCGACTAAACTCTATTCGCTTAACTCGGAGTTATATTTTAGATAATTCGAATTATATATCGGATAGAATTTCCTATTTTTTTATTCTACTACTTATTCTATTACGTGTACGACGTCTCTAAAGGAGATCTAAAGGAGGGATTTCGGAATTCATATATAAATATATACTTATATATATAAAGAAGTGGAGTAGATAAAGTAGTGTTTATAGTAGGTGGAATAAGCGAGTTAGGAAGGCGGGATTCTGAATATAGCTAAAAGCCGTTTTTATATAAGACATTTCAAAATAATTTAGATTACTATATTCGGAGTAGTAATTACTTTAAATTCGATATATAAGCCGAACAATTTTAACACTTAATACGAATTAGGACTCGTATCGAGTACTAAACTCTAATTTATATAGTAGAACCTAGATTTGAATTCAGGACTTTTTTAAGCCGAACAGGCCGTAAAGGACTACAAATACCCTTGATTTCGCATTCGATTCAGCATTCGATTCGAATATATTATAATTAGTGTTATCGATATATTATATTCGTAGCTGTATAGTATAATACTACTATTTAAGGACCGGCGATTACACGTACAAGTATGAATAGATAATTTAATCTAAACGGTATTTAGATTATAAATAATCGAAAGTTATAATCGATAAGCGAATAGAGTTTTCGTAGGTTTTATAAATACCAGGGCACGCATCCGAAAATCGTAACGCTAATAATCTTGAGCCGAACAGGCCCTTGGTCAGGGCTTGCCTTCAGATTAACCTTATAAATAAAACCAGACCCAAAAGCTTAAGGAATCTTCCAAGGATATCCTTATATCGAGAATAGCAGCATCGAGTTTTGTTTCATTTAGGTAATAATTACCTTACTTACTAATAGACTTTAGGTTTAAACCTTAGTCTGTTCTCGCTTATTCTAGAACGTTCGATCACGTGAACCGAAACATTCTAGTATCCCTTTCTATTTATAAGCACTTCTATTCTATTTATAATCTATAGAGCCTCCTAGAATCTATCTAAAGAGTATATATAGACCTTTACTGTCCTTACAGTTAGAAAAATTAAGTCATTTTCACAAGTCAAATTCTTACTCTTTTGATTCCCGATGTACCTAACAGTCATCTGACCATCCTACTTCCACTGTCTTATATACACTCTGTATATAACCGGTACCTCTTACAAGTTTCCCCACGGTACGAAGCGTGTACTTCGAAATACTGCGCCAAGTAGCGTAAAGCAATGCCGAAAAAGTGCGCAAACTTAAGCAAGGGAACTCTGGTAAACCGACATTCCCGAGTCAGCGAGTATCTCAAACCAGTTTTACTTCGAAGGGTTACCTGAACAAGATCAACCCATTAATAATGACGTAAAACGAGAATATACTGCACCAGTAGGTATAAAGTGCAGTCTGCCCTTTCACTTGCTTTCCAAGAAAATACCAATCAATCATTCTTACTACACTCTCAAAATTCTACACTAAAACTTCACTCTCTACTCAAACTCCCTACTCAAAACCGCAACCATGCAAATTATTGCCATCTTCACCCTTGCTTTCGCTGCCTTCGCTACAGCTTTCCCAGTAGAAGAGAGCAGTGGACTCAAAGCTCGAGAATGCAAAGTGAGTTTCCCAGAAGTTTTGCTGGCTAGCTATTTCTTGCTATGCTACTTAGTGCGAGCAATCTACGGATGATGGCCTTTGCCTTAGCTGGAAGTGCTGAATGTCATGTGAGATAGTGGATCTCTCCACTTCTCTAATCTCTACGTACCTATATAAGAAGGGGCGCATCCCTCCCAGAGACGCTCGTCAAGCAATAAAATATGGGCTCCACTCACTATACCTTTCGACAGGAAGGATGTCTGTGAAGTTGCCCCTGTTCTAGGCGCTCTAACTGAAGCTCGTAGTTTCTAAGTATTCCTTTACTTGGTAAGACTTTGGTATAGTACAAGTGTGATTCAGGAAAAATATTGCCATTAATTCTAGGGTCTATAAGTTGTCTGACAGTCAAGGTTGATCTCCATTGTTGAAAGATAGCCACTTAGGGTGCTAGACGTGAAATGAATTTAGCTGTACCGCTCCTTCGCTTGTTAGATAACTATAAGAATGTCTATTTAAATATCCCTCTCACGTACTCTACCAAAAGTTGTTGCTAGGAATATAGAAGGTCAGGGTGCCAGAAGAGCTGTATTCAGATGACTAGGGAGCTAAGTACGTATTATGGGTAGGATCCTAGCTTATATAACCCTAGTATATACCCCTCCTTTGTTATATACTCCTGTTCTGTTCTATACATGTAGGTTCTGTACGGTAGAAACTACTAGTTAGTATCATCCTAACAACAAAAGTTCACCTATGAGCATTTTCGCTGTGGAATCAACAAAGCAGCAGCAGATAACCCCTTCATATTGTAACTTAATTCAAAGTACGGCAACTGAACGAGATAGCCCTAAAATAATTCGCTTGTGACTAACAAACCACTTAAATCGACGATCTATAGATGATCTTCCCGAGGCGTTGAATGGCAAAAATTCGAAGATGAACAGAATACTCTTGGTTGAGGGCGCTGTGATGTATATCGGAAGAACGTGCAATTAATTTATAACCTAATTGAGGTGATTGTAGGAGGAATTTGTGCCTCCTGAATAGCGACTAAGAGTTCAGCTAACATCTCGTGTTCTGAATATCCTTCCAAGGTTCCCGGAAAGCAGAGGATGAGACCGCGAAAGGATTTTGATATCGAGCATGATGAGAAAATTAGAGAACAATTCTCCATAACCAGAAAAAGCATGTCTGAGGACTACCTGAATTCATTAAAAGTTGGAAGACCTACACAATTGATCGATCGATCCAACTTCATCCCTTACACGACTTAGGAGGCTCCTCACTCCTCCTCGCGTCAAGCAGGCACGGGGAGGAGCTCAGTCTTGCGGTATCCCAGTGGCTTCAGCTCATAGGTTCGCCTCATGTTGGATATCATGTTGGATATCATGTTGGATATCATGTTGGATAACCCATGAGTCCTTCCAACAGAAAAAGGGCGGGGAAATTAACCAAGTTGAAAATCATGTTGATATCACCTGACAAAAATGTTACAGTATGAAAGAATATTGTAGGTCAACTAAAGGCACAAGAAGGGCTTAATGCAGATAATACTCTCCCAGGTAGCCCTACAATGAGATATATTCGCTAATACCATTTCCATAGGGTTTTAATACACGTGATATATACATGATCCCAGATCTAAGAATACTAGTACTGTATATCAAAACTTCCGCCATTTGAGAGAAGATTTGTAGGTCCTTTAAAGAAACCTACCGTATTGGCTATTATTACAACAGGGAATTGTTTAATTTAAGGCTTTACGAGAAGAACTTTTAATGAGATTACTATCTTCAAATTTTACACAGTACAACTTTTATTAGCTGTCCTATTGTAGTATTATATGTTATGGCAAAGGAAATTAGAACTATACATAAAGAAATAAAGCTGCCCAAATAATAGACCATTGTATAGATTTTCCTGCAACTCACATACACGTGATCATAAACAGGCTAATACGGACTTGACTGACAATTTGCTGCGGCATTTTAGAAGGGCTGAGCTGCATATATATGCAGATTTAGGCAGCCAGAGCAAGCTTTCTCGAAGATAACTATCGAACATCATCCTTCGCAATACCTTTCATCAACATCATCATTCTAACAAAATCAATACCGAGCCACGCCCGCGACTATTCAACATCGTTATGAGCTCGATGAAGCAAATTCGGACGACCCCACCCGATATCCACAACTCACGAAGTGACCTGTATTTTGGGCTGCATCCTCGAGAAATTCGCTTGGTTACGCTTCGCAGCGGCCAATGGTCCGATGATATTCAATGCCAATTAAAGCACGCCTATCTAGCAAATAAATCTATCTATAAAGCTCTGTCTTATGCTTGGGGGTCCCCACGAGCAACTCGACCAATCCTTGTCAGTGGAATCCGGTACTCGGTCACAGTCAATTTAGAGGCTGCCCTTCGAAGGCTACGACAAGTTAATGAGGATGTCATACTTTGGGTCGATGCTATATGTATCAATCAATCAGATAATGAAGAGAAAACCCAACAGGTTAGGTTAATGCACGATATTTACTCTAACACCGACGAAGTCATTGTTTATCTCGGAGAGGTTTTAAATCATAAATCCATGATTTCCCACGACTTGGTATCGGCTTCTAGGCATGTGTTCAACTACGACGACACGGATAATGAGAAGCTCGAGATATTCCGTGCCCATTGTTCGGTGAAGAAATTGAGCCGAAAAGAAAGAATTGACTATGCCTTTGATGTATTCCGCTTTCTCTGCGTTCTTGCAGACGAATCAAAAACAAATCACTTAGCATCATTCGACGTCCATTCCAGGGAATTCAAGGACTCCGTATACCACGAAAACCTCTTCGAGGAGTTGAGAAAAATCATGAATTGTCGGTGGTGGAAACGAATATGGGTCATTCAAGAGGTTGTCGTCCCTAATAAAATTACAGTGGTCTATGGTAAGTATTAATTTCTCAAATGAATCCCATTTGTTAATGGTTTCCTAAAACTGGCTTATTCAACGATGTTCTCCAAATATGGGTGTATCTGAAACTTTTCTGAATAAGCCCGCATGATAAATAAGATTTCAGTTCCTTTCTCCTCTAGAAACTTTAAAGGACCTGTTCTTCCTTCTGACCTGTTCAAAAGGTGGTTACTGACTCCGTGAATTTCTGACTTACAGGTTCTTCAGTCGCGCCTTGGGAAATGCTAGTCAATGCTGCTCGCTGGCTGTCACGTAATCGCATCTCAACGACTCCATTTTGTTTTTCCAATGATAACTTGACGGTGCTATCGTATGTCTCTCGAATAAGTCTGGACATTGAGCGCATGCGTGAAACATGGAACACTGGGAAACAGACACCACTCCTATCTTTGTTACGGCGATTCAAGGATAGAAAAGCAAGCGATGAGAAAGATAAGGTTTATGCATTACTCAGTTTGGCTCAAAGCAAGACATCAATCGTACCGGACTATTCTCTAAGTGTTTCAAGAGTCTTCCAAAACGCGACTTTGGATATCATCAAGGAAAGCGGGTCATTGAGTGTTCTCATCGGCGATCTTGGAAGAAAGGATCGTCAGGACTTGCCCTCCTGGGTTCCAGATTGGAGTTCTGCGTACGATGACTTGGATCGACACCGGGTTGAGGCTATGGAAAATAATCAGTACAATGCGTCGGGAGGCAGCAGACTCTATGTTCAGACTGAAGACGCCGAAGAATGGGGTGGCCTTCGTGACTATCTGAAAGTGTGTCCTGAGATTCGGGGACCTCGCCTGGAAGTGTTCAATACTCAAGTTGGAACGACAGATTGGCAGGAGTGGCTCCCCAGTGGTGCTGATAAGTCGAATCTGAGTGAAGAGGAGTGTCTTCTAGCTATCGATGGTTATTATACATCTTGCCGAGGCGCGGTCTGTCTAGAGTACCTTGGTAACGGCATGATTCGGCTGCCTGGAATATCGATGGATATGGTAACTCATGCGTGGGACATCGCACCCTGCGACGAGACAATAAGTACTGTTATTAGCACTTGGGTTAGCTTTTCAACAGCCTCGTTTCGCAGAAGAAGTATTGGAGATGCCTTTGTTAGAACGATATGCGCTGACAGGGTCAGCAGCGGTTCGCCTAACCAGGAAATCTCTACCCAGATACTTAAAGTTGAGGATCCCGATGCGCTAGATCGATGGCTTGAGGAAGCCGGCCTGATATTTACGCGCGAAAATACTGGAGAACCTCAAAGAAACCCAATCCAAACATCTGGCAATATCAACAACGCTGTTCGGTCTGCAGCAATCCGAAGGAGACTTTTCATAACCAAGAATGGACGTATTGGACTTGGGCCTCCGAAAACACAGCCGGGTGACCGTGTTTACGTGCTTTTAGGCGGCCGAACACCATTCATTCTGCGCCCAGCTGGGTGGCGGAGCATTTGAAAGATTCGTAATCATCCTATACTTGGACATCAAAAGGTCGCATGCTATGAAGTTATTGGCGACTGCACTGTGAATGGTCTGATGAACGGTGAAGCCATGAATGATTGGGAGTGTTGCACGGGGACACGCAGAATTACGGAAACATATTGCTCAGTGGAAGATTATCCACGAGAACTGGAAAGCACTCAACCCAAGTTTGAATGAATGGAGAGATATCATGAACCGGAAGAATATGAATGCATTACTTGCTCCACCAGCTCCGAATACACTGCGGGATGAGTCCATTTTACAAGGGGAGATGAATTCGCTTAACATCGAATTACCAAAACAGGGTGGGTATCAAGACAAAGATTCGGATATGATTCCAAATTTTCTAGATCGGCATTTTTGGTCAGAAATGCTTGTGACTGAGAATGACCTTTTCCAACACCAGAATAACTCCCAGACCTCTCCCAAAAAATTTCAAGATATCCTGGATCGCCACACATCTACGGGAACTATTCGGGATCATATCAAAGGAATGAGCCTTTCTGAGTGGAATTTCCAATTGTACTCTGATCGACAGTTTAGGCTTCTACTTTTGAAAGCAGCAAGGTTGAAGATAGCCCAGATTGAGAAGGATATCAGCGATGCTGAAAAGGCAATGGACACCATACAAGAACATATTGCAACGTATGATTTTCAAGACTAGCGGCGTGTTTGTTTGGTTTAAGGAGATTTCATAATTGGTTGAGTTGTATTCAAGAATCCTGTGTTGGGATTCCTATGTTTAGATGAATTTTAGAATTTTATTCGCCAAAAGAATTGGATAAAACTTGCAACATTTGCTTCAATGTGCTACCAATTTCTCAATACGTGTAATTACATACGAATCAAATAGTACCCGCAGGTTCGTTCTTTACTATTGCGGGTTTTATGAATGAGAGATATCTTTCCTATTGGTCCGTGAAACAACCCTCCTTGTGTTATACGCAGGCAGCCGGGCGGAGGAACCTTACGACGCAAAATCTCATCGGTTCGCCTTATGTTGAATAATACGTAAATAGAAACATCACTGGAGAATATGGAAGATTCCAACTGGAACCGGGGTTGGTCACGTGCTTATCACCTGATAATGGTAAATTCCCCCCTTTTATTCCCGAACTTCCGGTTCTGCAACGGGCAATGCAAGCCACCAATGAACCCTGTCTTCACTATTTCTCTATCGGCGACCATAATCCTCATTGATATCAGAAACCCATCTGTGCTGATTACCTCTGCATATATTGAATCCAACTAACCATGGCTAATTCTAATTGTACGTGGTCAGAACGAAGCGATTTATGTAAACATAAGACTAGAACTCTTGATTCATCCCAGTACTTCGGTGAGGTGTGACGATTTCGCCAAAGATACCCGGTTGCAACATTGCTATTAGATATCCCGGCTCTGGGGATGGGACGAGAGTAGTGAGCAGCTGCAGTATGGTGCATTAAATAGGTATGATTGACGTTCTATCAAGTCTTGTACTCCCATAATTCTTTTCCCGTTCTTATCTTCTCTCACTTCTTCATACCGTAGGGTCAAGACATTGAAGTAAGCGGAGTAGAGTCTCAGTGTGGTCTTTCTTGGCCTGCACTTGTCACCCAAAAGGAATTTCAAACGCGAAAGCGCGACATCTGGTCACACTTGGTTTTGTGCTTCCTGCGATTCTGTGGCAAACGCGATGCTACCAGGTTCTGTATGTACAGGCAGGGAGGTGGCTCGGTCTCGGTGTTATGGAGAGCCGGCGCGAGCTGTACAATTGTGGATATAAGATGTTTTAGGTACTACTCTTTTGAGCATTGAACCAGTTCAAGTTTATAAGATAGAGGGAATTCCTTTGGGTCGACTGAAAGTAAAGCATTAAATATTCAAAGTTAAAAGTGAGGAACTATACATGATTTTTCTGCATATTGGTCACATTACATGTATTTCCCTGAGCGTCTACCCATCAGACACACATCCTACTTTTGATCGTCGTACGCACACAACTATCTTTGATAACAAACACATCACTTTTCATTCATACAAATATCACCTCACTGATACCAAATTCAGAAGTGTAAAATCAAAACTCAACAACACTTCATCATCATGGAGAACGCATCCAAGCCCACGCCCTTCATCTCAGGCAAGAAAGTCATAGTGAGCGGTGCCGGAATTGGTGGTCTTGCATTCTCAATCGCCATTCAAAAACACCATGAACTCCACTATCCCACTCAACCTGCGCCAATCGTCAGAATTTACGAAAGAGACTCGGAGTCATCAGCTAAAAACCGAGAGGGTTATTCTATGTCCATCCGCAGTGATGGAGTCTCAAGGGGAATGCAGATGCTTCAAAACCTGGGAATCATGGAGGATATCATAGGCGCAGGAGTCCAAGGAATGGAAAAGATTCATCTCAAGCTATGGGACAGGCAATGGGAGGAGATTATAAATGCGAAAATTGACAGAGCGGATCTTCCTCAACCACTTGTGAGAGGGGCCAGGCGCGTCTTGAAGAAACACCTACTCGAAGTGATACCAAAGGAAACTGTTATTAGTTGGGGGGTCACCTGTGTTGGTGCAACGAAGCTTGAGAGTGGCAAGACGAGTGTTGAATTCAGTGATGGAACAAGCGAAGAGTGCGATCTTTTGATTGCGGCAGATGGATCGAAAAGAAAACTTCGAGCTTTACTGCGACCGGATGATGCAGTTCAATTTGCTGGAGCATTTCAAATTATTGGTACTGCGCACTTTCCAGACGGTAAAATACCCCACCCAATATCGCGAGCGTTTGGGCTCTATCTCAACGGAAGTGGCAATGGAAGCTTTGTTTCACCAATTGACGAAACTCATGTTGTGTGGACCGTAAGCCATCTATCAAAGGAGTCAAGAGAGCCTCGAAAAGATCCTGATGCTCTAATGAAGGAAGTTATTGAGCGCTCACAAACCTTCAAAGAGCCATTTTTCACATTACTTAGAGCTACGGAGCCTACATCCATCAGGGAGTTAGTCGTTGAGGATAAGCAGCCTTTTGGACATGATTCCCAGCTTTTAGAAAGAGTTGTGATATTTATTGGTAATGCAAATCATGCAGTCAGTCCCTTTGCAGGCAATGGGGCCAACCTTGCAATGATGGATGCATGGGATCTAGCCGAGCAACTTAGTACGAAGGAAACTTTGGAGGATGCTTTGAAAGCTTACGATACAGTCAGTATGCCGAGGGCGAGGATTGTGATTAAGCACTCGCACATGCCAATCGCGTTCGCACATTCAACAGGCTGGAAATTGATGCTGTTCAGCTGGGTTTTGAAGTTGTGGAATCGCTTTCGAGGGTGGTAATTTGCTTCTTATTGTCTCAACGGATTTTCATTTAGTATTTTCGATCGCATGTTTATTGCTTAAATCTTGCAAGTTCTGTTCTATTCATATTAAGAAGTGTTGTTTTTTAAAAAAAAAAAAAAACAATATATGTAATCTAGAAATAGCTTAAGCATATCTTTAGGTAGACTTCTTTTATACTTATATCTTCAAGGGTTTTCTTCTACTTCTTAATCTATATAGTAGTAATCTATAAGACAGTTAGCAGAGCGCCGTTCCGAGGGTTCTACTAGGGTAGATATAGCGGTACTTGTTTAGACAACGCGTGCGCCCGCTCAGGCTAGCATGTCCGCTTTCGGTAGGCGCCTCTAGCTTCCTCCCGAAGCTACTTTTCGACGTCGTTCATATGGCCCGTTCCGCTTAGTGTGTATATTCAGGGTGCATATTGATTAGAGTTCTATATCCTTTACGAATGCTAACTCATAAATCGAATGTAAAGCAAATGCTACTTTAAACATAGTGTCCTGGCTTCCTTCGGAATGCACCATACAAAATAGGAGTGACGCAAAATCCGTGTTTGCCAAATCCGCATTCACAGCTCGCTTATTCCACCTAATGTAAATACCATTACTATATATAAAAACCTATGATTGTATATAAAGGGTGGGTAGAAATAAGTGTAATGTTAAATACAGTGGTGGTGACTCTAACTAATAGCCATACCGACAATCAATCGTCTAGGTACGATACTCATACAGAACTCCACTTGAGCCAAACGTTATTCTATTCAAAATATATCGATGAGTGTACACTCAATAAGGGGCTAGATTTTAAACGATGGGTGGGCTTCTGAGTAGTCTAAACTCCACTAATCTAAGCCGAACAGGCCGTAAGAGCCCTCGCTTAATCAAGGCAATTACCGAAAATAGGAAGATGCATTTCCGTACGGACTTATATGTAACATTAATCACGAGTAACATTGATCCAACTCTCGTCAAAGTCTCCATCTCAATGGTCCGATTTACGCACTTCCATTCTTCATTCCCTCCCAATCCTCCTTGCTGAACCTGTATTCAACCTCCTTTCCCTCACTCTTCACTTGCTTCCACTTCTCCAACCCCATCCGACCAGCAAGTCCTTGAAACGGCGTATTCACGGCCAATGTCTCAAAATACGCTTCCTCGCACCCGACGCCCTCCTCCTCCACCTTCCGGAATGCAAAGTCCAACGTAGCCTGCAACGCTTCCCGCCCGTACCCCTTCCTCCACTCGGAGCTATCAATCAGCACACCCAAGTCCGCAACTCGCTTACCCTGGGCGTCCGTAGAGATAGCATTGATGCCACCGAATCCAATAACGCCATCCGCAGGTGATGAAACTGTTAGACGTCGGGTTATGACCAGAAAGTAGGCCTTCCCACAAGCGCGCAGGTCCTCCCATTTTGCGATTCGGCCTTGGTATTCTTCTACCGTTGGGTTGCTTGGTCTGTGTGGTTCATGTTGGGTGTTGAGGGGGTTGGCAAAAATGGCTGCGAGGGGGGCGGCATCGGAAGCGATGGCGGGACGAAGGATAAGATTTTCAGTGCAGAGATTGGGATTTGGAGAAGACATCTTGTGACAAAAAGTGTGGGTTACTATCGGTAACTCAAGTCGTAAGATTACGCGTGATTGGGAGACAGCACAATCAAGCGTATGGTAGGCAATTCCTGGTCATGTTATCTCTAAGGATCAAGAAGCTAGGGGGTGATGGAGGGAACTTGATATGAGAAGGACGACTTATTGGTGAGTCATCTTGATGCAGAGATAGGTAAACGATGTTGGTTGTTGGTTATTGGTTCACGTGATTGCGATCATTCTATATTCCGTAAAGAGAGTAGACAGCTCGAATGATCCACCCCATATCCGGAAGTGATATAGGATGGGGTAATACGTAGTTATCCTTACTTATGTTATCTTATTTCTACTAACTTTGGCGAATTCTAACACACAAAACGCTAGAAACGCTAGGAACCACCTACTAACAGCACAAACATTGTATAAACCCATTCTCGTGGATCATGTCAGTCTATATCACGTAGTGAAATTTCATTTCCTATACTCCTTTCTTAAAGATTTACTATCTCCTCGCTTAAGGTTGCGTTCTCCTTTCTTCGAATTCTATACCTTTCTCTTTAATTCCTCTATTTCCCTCTTCCTCTCTCCTTCTGCGATGCTTGCGGCTATGGTCGCGATATTATATCTAAACGTATCTAACGTTAAACACGTTTGTGTATCGGGTATTGCAGTAAGGTGGGACCTATAGTGATAGCTACGATCGAAGCAGGTAAGCGTCGAACATCAATTAAATTACTTGCCATAGTTGGGCGAATCTACCTAGTTGATTTCAGATTCAAGAATATTCCTAATTCTAGCAGAGTAAAACCGCTTGGAGTACTAGAGAAGCTGCTACTTAACTCGAATCCAGTCAATAACCAAAAATAGCTATCTGAATTCTCCGAAATTATTAAGAAGATAGAGCTTCCGTTTAGTATATAAATAGTGCTGATATAAGTACAATAGCTAGGGGCAAGCGTCCGATTTCAATTGAATTCTGAGTTCTTATATTTCAAGAAAATTGTACTAAGTAGGGGTGATGTTTAACTTATATTAAAGCCATCATTTTTTTTTCAAGCTCTTCATCTCTTACTGTTACACTTTGATTTTAGTCCTAGCTTTTTAGCTCTTAAGCCAATTGTACTAAGTCGAGTAAACATCGAAAACAATCACTTCTCCCTGAAGAGAAATCTTTCCTCTAAACAAAGAGGAATACATTTTTTTTAAACAAAGCAAGATATATAACCGAGATATGGATACAGCTCCAGCCACTCCCCCCCATAGAAAGATCAGCTACGTTCTCTTGTATCCCATGGAACCTGTTTCAGCACACGTCTCTACCCGCCTTCTCTCCTAACCCAGCTACTTGGTACTGTAACACACAATATAAGTCATTCAAGAGCTGCATAATCTCTTGCTGCAACCTGCCTATCTCTTCTCACCGCAAACATGTGAGAATAAAGTAAGGATCTTTACATCACAAGGAATTAGAGATTCTCTGTGCTCTCTGTTAGAGTGAAGGCTTGAATACTAGCAAGGGATCTTTGGCAATCCCTCCTGAAATTTTCTTCCAGAAGTTCCTAGGAAGATATCGCAACAAGAACACGTGCCTCCGAATCTATCCTTACTGTAGACTCTCAATTTTCTATTCCTGCCATGACCCACATTCGCACAAAGTCTCCATTAAAGACCATTCCCTCGCCAAAACATTCAAGGGCGACAACATCTACCCCAACCTCAACCTCTATCACTCTACAAGAACCTACCTCACACTACAACCCCGTGATCGTCATCATCTGCGCCAGCATTTAGCCACAAAACACCTACCCCACCTTCACAATCCTCCTGCAGCAAACCCTAGCCGCCCAGGACCGCCGCTTTTCCACCCCAAAAGGTGCCATAGAACATCGAAACATGGTTGCTGCAAAACCCAGACAATTATCATGTAAGGCTCCTTGGTTGTTCTCGTCTAGTACTTGTACCTCTAGCAATACAATAATGCAGGAGAGAGCCACGACTGTATATTCCAAGCATTCTATTCAGAAAAGTTTCCCCTCTATTACTGAATCCGATGCCGAGACCGAGGCAAACGTGGAAGACGACGAACTGGGAAACGTACTTGAACGGATTGGGCGAAGAGGGTGGACGGGGATCCTTTCGGGGACCAGGTCATGTCATCATGCAGGAGGACCGTTGGATTTGCCAGAGATCAGAGATCAGCGGTATTGATGCCATTTATTTACACCCGAAGCCTTCTCTTTTACTCATACTGGCAGACGTTTGCGAGCTGCAATACTAATGTCGAGAGGTGGTTACACGACTACGATTCTTTCCTGCCCATCTTCTGCTCAAGCGCCGTACCACGAAGATCAAAAGTTTGGTAACGGCCTCTAACAAACTACTCTACTGTACATACCATACGCACTTGAAGCACCCGCATATGTACAGTACACATGCTGAAAAGGACTTCCACCCCCATCCAGCCTTATCCCATGCATCTTTCCCAACTCCAACTGCATCTTTACATTTTAGCCCTCCAAATCACATCATATATCCTCTGCTTCGCCCATGATTTCTGCAACGGAGCACGCCGATACAGTCGTACCGAGTTCCTCATTGCTGTATCCATAACTTTCATGTCTACGTGTCGAGGTTACGTCCGCTTTGACATGAGCGATGATAATCTTGGATGCGTTTTTCTTCAAAACTCCCAGCCTCTAGGAAGATAGTACCTGTGCCCTTTGGGAGCGCCAATATGGTCTGGAGCTTGTCTTTCAACTGTGCATCAGGATACCTGTGTTCTCTCGAATATAGAAGTTCTTGGCCGTGCCGTTGAAAAAAATCATACTCTCAGGAAACGTTACACGAAAGAACAGCCAGTGGGAGGAGAAGAAAAGAACGGAATTTCTCATTGGATGTTATATAGGGATTGGAGGAGACTTCCTAGTACTTCCTTCGTATGTGATGAATCTTGGCTGACAGCAGCATACCATCCAACACCAACACCAACACACGAATCGCCCCGCGGGGAATAGAGAAGAGAAGCAAACACAACGAGCTCCTTCCTCTTTGAAAACTCTGGAAGAGGTTCGGTATGATCGGAATTCGGAGAATCGTCATTCTCATTATTGCCTTTCCCAGCGGTAAATCATCGAAAAGGCGCGAATGCTGTACATGCCTTCCCAACCGCCCAAAGTACCATTCGGATATTTTCATCACCAACCAACATTGTCTAAAGCCGGTGATCAACAATAACAATAAACCTCAAACCAAATAGGGAGAAAAGTAGCAAGACAATGCGAGTACCGAGCTACTTATCCTCCATGTGCCACACGCCCACCGTCCCTTAACGACCCCTTCACACAGATAACGGCATCCAGTCATTCATCCCGCACCAGCTGGAGCACCTCGCATCATCGTCGTCATGCACCAGCGGTAAAGACAACTCGTCTGTGCGCGGGGAAGACAGTCCGGTTGTACGACTACGACGGTTCCTCGTTTTTCTGAGTTGTCGTAACACAGGGACGCGATCGGATTCCGGAGCTCGTTGTTTCCTCATTTCCTCGAATCAAGAGGATCTGGACAAGGAAGCGAGGTTGGCTGGCTGCATCGGGATCCGACAGGATCTTTTTTGGTGCTGAAGAATGCGGGGTGGTTGACGATGTAGGTTGGAGGCGTGGAATTGGAAATTCTTATGGTCGTGGAGAGATATGCATTTTGGAATCACCATGTTTTTCATGTTGTCGATAGGTAACTCAAATTGTAACGAATCACTTGAATTACATATAATAGAGCAGCGAGCCACAATAACAACAACACACTACCTAAGCGAGCTCAGGAAGGAGGTCCAAATCCTCACCCAAGTCGCTACCGAACCGTTGGATCCTAGGGCCGTAAATTAAACAAACCAGCAACGGTATCTCCCAACGGGTTTCCGGGCATGAAAGAAAGCAGATCATGGCATCCATCAATTCGAAACTCCAGGACAAGGGGACATTTACGCTAACCCGCCCTGGGGTCCTGACTCCTGGGAGCTCGGAGAAGACATCGCATCTGCGAGAGCCGTGAATCGAATCAATCCACTTGAGTAACGGCTGGCCGAAGGAACATCCAAATGGAGAATTTCGGTGGGGGGTCCCCTAAAAAGATTCCAAACAAAAGGCCAAGGAGGCTTTTTTTTTTCTTTCAAAGGAGGGGTTCGTCTCGTCTGGTCTGATCTAGTTCGTAGTTCG